TTTAGTGTTATCTCGGTTACGACCAAGATCGGTTTAGGAGCCTCATGAGGAAATCAGTGGTCAGGGTTCAGCAGGATGGTTATCCACCATCGTCGGGATTCAATGAAGTTCAACATTTGTACCAGGGATAGTTTTTGGAGGCATCAAGAGAAGCTGCCTATCGTTAAAGAATTTGCTTTGAGCATCGACTAATTGGACTTTAAGGTTGAGAAGGGCATAAGGTTAAGCTTTTGGGGTCATTAGTGTTGGGATTTCAGAAAGCATTCATCTAGTCTTCAATAATTGTGCAATCTTTAGAATGGGCCAGTAATGGATCATTAGCAAGACTGAGCGTGGGAAGTCAGTGTGTCTATCGTGTAAAGAAGGAAGGAATGGGAATCCTCCAACGCTCGCGTTCCGTGAAGTCTTAGTCGAATCTAAGTGAGGGAGAAACAATCATGTTATGGGAGCAGGAGTGGTTTTGAAACTGGGATAAGTTTCGCATTCAGGTTAGGAAGAAAGGTGGCCCAAGCGGCTGTGTGGCGCAAGGATAGTGTAAGTCCGGAGTTCGAAAAACTTGCCAACATTGAGGTCGTGTTCTCGTGATGATTGATAGCAGGTCTTGAGAAATCAGGAAAGGGATTTCAGTCAGGACATGAGTTCAGCTTGGGATAGTAGATCGTTCATGTATGCTCGATTATGGGGTATGTACGGATTAGTAGTCAGCGAAAGACCATGGTCAGCGGTCGAGTCAGTGTGGAAGGTGTTGTAAGACTACGGGTTAGCCGTAGCATCCACTAGCAGCCAGTCGGTGAGGAAGGTGTTGTCAGACTACCGGATAGCCGTAGCATTCACCAGTGGTCAGATAGTATGAGAAGTGTGGTAAGACTGCGGTGTGGCCCGTAGCATTCGTATATTAGTATAGTTAGACTGCGGTGTGGCCCGTAGCATTAGTATAGTAAGATTGAGGTATGGCCCGTAGATTTGGTATTGTAAGACTACGGGGTGGCCCGTAGCACTCGTCAGTTAGCTGTTAGTATAATGGTAGAGTGAGACTGTGGGGTGGCCCGTAGCATTCATCGGTCCCGATTCGGTAGTAAGAATGTATCAGGGGTGTGTCTCACTTGCGGGGTTTTTCAGATAGGTTAAACCAGGTCAATGCAGGCCACACGGATGTGAGTAGGCCACAACATAATTGAGTTCGGTAACCAGGCAGGATCCGATATTTTTAGATAGCCGACAGAGTAGTTGGGACCAGGGTGGTCTCGGTTCATCCCGGAAAGCGGATAAGAGATTGCGGGTTTTTTGGACAGAGGTAGCGATAAGGGAATTCTTGTATGGAGCAGTTAGTTGACCGAGTGGTGCGACGCCTCTCACAGTAGGGTTAAATAATCTCAGAGGGAAGGATTTGATTCTATTGCATAGTTCTCGTCTGAGTCTAACCGTTGCAGGAACGAATCTTTTACTCGAATGATTATCTGATCCATCCGCTGGGTTGGGCGTTCAGCATTGAGGCGTGATAAGAGGAAGCATTCAGTAGTTGACAGTGAAGGAACCAACACTAGGAGTGACTGGAAATTTAGCATAACACAGGGTTGGTTCTACTCAGAGATAGAGAAGGTTAGTGCTTATGGAAGTTGCCTTGGGAAGGCCTGTGACTGCGCTGGAAAAAGGGGTGAACCCCTTGGATATCCAGCGTAAGTACTCGGAGAGTACCGGCAGGATTGTCGATTGGGTAAGGGCGATGTACTCAAGGTTTGTAGTGATTCGGTGGTTCTCATAAAGATACCTTCGAGGTATAGCATTTCGCTCAGGAAGACTGGACGGAAGGCCAACAAAAGTGGTCCTTCGAGGCTTGGACCGAGCAGGCAAGGTATGCGGCGATTAGGAATGTCATGAGAGGTTGCGGAGTAGTGGGCCGTAGCGGACTTCGAGGACGAAGTCTAGTTTGAGTGGGGGAAAGTTGTTACACCTCGAATTCAGAAGACCTAGAAAGGGAAGGAAAACCTCAAAAATCAGAAGGCAACTCGTCGAGTAGGTGGGGTGACTCGACGAGTAGGAGCGCGTTCCGGGTCGCGGGTTAAGTGACCTACTCGATGAGTCGGAGGACCGACTCGGTGAGTTGGTGAGGGTTTGGGAAACCCTAAATTCGGGACTTGGCACCTTATTTAAGCATCTTATTCTCCTCCTATTGGTTCCATTCCCATCCCCCATTGTCCAGAACTTAACCCACGAAACCCTAGATCATTTGGTGAGTGTGTGAGCCATTCTTGAGTATTTTGGTTTTCTTGGAGGCTAGAAGAAGAAGAAGGAGATTGAAGGTTCAAGGAGGAACTTGTAGATCCAACAACACCATCTCATTTCCATCATTTTCTTGTAATCAAGTCTTCATCTTGACTTATAGCTTCTTAGATCTATTTATGTCCACTTTATGAGAGTTTTGGTCCATGGAGCTTGATCTATGGGACAAGGATGTCCCAAGCAAAGATCCTTTCAGATTTGGGGTCCCTAAGAGTGGTTAGGGCATAAAGGTGCAAGCTTTATGCCACTAGAACTCCCCATGCAAGGTTTAAGAGGTTGTTATGGCCTTTTGAGCAAAAAGGGCCATACATGGATGTAAAGGCAGAGGCTTTACGTATTATTTCGACCCTAGAAGGTTAGATCTGGGTCCTGGATGCTTTGTGTCTGACTGAAATCGACTAAATAGATTTGGACTTAGGAGGACTCGACGAGTTGCTCTTAGGACTCGGCGAGTCAAGCCATTTTCTTGCCCAAAACCCTTTTGATAGCGGGTGTGTGTTGAGTTGGTAGAGGACTCAACCAGTTGGGTTCATTATGGACTTGAAGATCATCGTACTCGACGAGTTCAAGCATGAACTCGGCGAGTCCAAGGCAATCTCCCAACCCATGAAGACGGACTCGACGAGTTGTTCATAGAACTCGGCGAGTCATAGACTGGACACATTCATATGATGAAGATGAACTCGACGAGTTCAAGGATGAACTCGGCGAGTCGGTTGAAGATGGTCTCGATGTTATGTTTGAAGGCGAACTCGTCGAGTTCTTGCTAGACTCGACGAGTAGAGTCGGGGGGGGGGGGGGGGGGGTTGTATCATTTTGAAAGAATAGGGACTCGACGAGTTGGTGGACCAACTCGGCGAGTCAAGTCAACTGGATGTTGACTTTGACCAAAGTTGATTTTGACCAAGTTTGACCTAGTTTGACTTTTGAGGGTATTGTAGTCTAAGTGTTATTTTGGGTATTGATAGTTCGGGGAGCCGAAGGATCAACAGTTCAGGAGCTGCCGGTTAGCAGCCAGAAGTGTTCAACTAGTCTTCAGCAATGCGAGGTGAGTCTCCTCACTGGTTGTATGGGTCTACGGCCACAATGTCGGCCCATTTAGTTTATGTATAGTAGGAAGACCTGGGGGTTAGCCCTAGGCATTATGTATGAAAGACCAGGAGGCGGCTCCTGGCACACTGCATGATATTATGTATAGTAGGAAGACCCGGGGGTTAGCCCTAGGCATTATGTATGAAAGACCAGGAGGTGGATCCTGGCACACTGTATGCTATTATGAATGAAAGACCAGGAGGTGGCTCCTGGCACACTGTATGCTGATTAGCCAAGTAGAGTAGTATGTATGCTAGTTGTCTTTGTGATGCTTGCATGGAAGACCAGGAGGTGGCCCTTGGCACTTGTCTGTAAGACCCAGGGAGTGGCCCCAGACTTGACAAGAAAGACCACGTACGGCCCGTGGCATAACAGCAAGACTATGTTTGGCGCATAGCACCTTACTTGATTATGGATATGTTTGTTATGTATGGCTCACAGTATGTATGGCATGTATGGCCCAGTTGATATGTATGGTATGTGGTATTTGGGTAACTCACTAAGCTTCGTGCTTACGATTTACAATTTTGGTTTCAGGTATCTTCTGTTTCAAGAAAAAGGAGCTCGGGACGAACGCAGCGCATTCACCCATGTTATTCCGCATTATGTGATCTTTGAGATTTGACTATGATATTTGTTTTAAATGAAATGTTTTCAATGTCTGGAACAACGTTATTAAAGGTTTTCTTATATTAAAAATGAAATTTTTGGCCTTGAATTTTGGGATGTTACAATAACCCTCGTCCTTTTCCATGACTGCGAAATCGATGTTCACTGGCCTTTGATTAATCTTGTCGGTGTATTGTATGGAGTACTTGGCGAAGATTCCTTGGTAGTGCAAATCCACAACGATGTATACAACAACCATGTTTGAGGTTTAAGGATAAGAAACGAAGGGTTTAGTCGAAGAGATGGAACTGGTAAACAGTGTTCATCGATGAATCTATTCTTAAAACGTAAAGAACAAACTACAAATGTTATGTGACATTAATAAATGAGGTGACAATCAACAAATGACACAATCAACAACTTATGTAGTATCATTAAATGAGGTGACAAAATTGTGACCGACTTACCCCTTTAAAACTGAAAAAAGTACTTAATCGATCCGACAAATACTAGTTCGTTCCCTCGTAAAGACACAAAATTAATTTAGAGATTTAAAGGACCTAACTCTTGAAAGTTCATAGGACACTTATGTCATTCCCTTTAAAAAAAATTAATGACTAAATATATACCATTATAAAAAAAATATTTCTTATACTTTCAAGTCATTCAAGTCATTAACCGTATATATAATATATACGCATGACACATGCATAGATCTATGTATATATATAATATGTGTCACATGTCTTCTTCAATGTTCAAACAAGAATGTCCCATATAATAATAATATAACATGTGATACAATTCACACTAAAGAAAGATGTGGAGCATGGGACAATGCCCCCGTCATATGGTCTAAAAATGTGATAAAGACTTGTCTAGTTAATTGCTGTCCTCATAACCAGAGGTGACTATGAGTAAAACAGTGTAAAGATGATGTAAATAGTGATTTTTAGATAACCCTAATTGTCTAGAAGAACATCATAATTTGCAGGTCTTTGTACCAAAATTCCCAAATCATGGTCATCTCATTCTCATCATACTTCCTTCTTCTCTTCTTCATCCCTTACGCAGCTTCAATCACCTTTAATTTGACAAAAATCGTTCAACAAAACCAGTACAGGGACATAAACACAACAGGTTCTGCTTACATCACCAATGACGGAATCCAGGTGACCCCAAACGAGATCGATTCAAATCGGAATCAGACAGCAGGACGAGCGACATACGTCAAACCACTTCATCTCTGGGATAATACCACTGGTGAGTTAGCAAGCTTCACTACTGATTTCTCCTTCGTCATCGATTCAAGATCGTTCCCAGATTACGGTGATGGGCTCACATTTTTTCTGACCGAGGAAAATTCAGTGATAATAAATGGTTCGTCGATGGGGCTTCCCATCGATGGCTATACAAATACCACCTTCAATCCATTTGTTGCAGTGGAGTTCGATACATTTCCAAACTCGCTCTGGGATCCGAAAAACTCCAGCGGTAATTTCGTAGGCACTCATGTAGGTATCGACATTAACTCACTTGCTTCTGTTGCGTCTCAGAAATGGCAACACGGTATACGTACTGGGAATGTCTCTCATGCTTGGATTGCTTATGATTCTGTTTCCAAAAATCTAAGTGTTTCCTTAACTGGTTTTAGAAATAACACTATTGTAATTCAGTCAATTCATCACGTAATCGATCTCAGGAGTGTGTTGCCTGAATGGGTTGCGTTTGGGTTTTCTGCTGCAACTGGAGCTTTCTTCGAGAAAAACATGGTGATTTCTTGGGCTTTCAATAGTTCTGAATTAAAGAGTCATGAAAACAACCCCTCGCCAGATACTGTGAAGAAAAAGAAAAGCACAGGACTTGTGGTGAAATTAATCATTGGATTATCTGTTTCGATTACATTTATAGCTGCTATTGTGATCGCTATTTGTGTGTGGAAGAAGAAGACGATGAACAAAAGAAGGGAAGAGGAAGCAGGATTTCATATTGGGATGAACAGTGAATTCGAAATGGGAACAGGTCCAAGAAGATTCTCTTACAGACAATTAGCTCGGTCAACCAATGGGTTTTCAGAAAACAAGAAACTTGGTGAGGGAGGATTCGGTGGTGTTTACAAGGGTTTCTTGAAAGAATTAAACATGAATGTTGCAGTCAAAAGGGTTTCCAAGACTTCAAAACAAGGGATCAAAGAATATGCTTCAGAAGTCATGATCATAAGCAAATTGAGACACAGAAATCTTGTTCAACTAACAGGTTGGTGTCACGAAAAAGGCGAGTTACTTCTTGTTTATGAGTTCATGGAGAATGGAAGCTTAGATATGCATCTCTTCAATGGAAAAAGCTTGTTGACATGGGGAACAAGGTATAGAATTGCTAATGGATTAGCTTCTGCTTTGTTATATCTACATGAAGAATGGGAGCAATGTGTTTTGCATAGAGATATCAAATCGAGTAATGTGATGTTAGATTCAAATTTCAATGCAAAGCTTGGTGATTTTGGGTTAGCTAAGTTGGTTGACCATGATAAAGGCGCACATACAACTACATTGGCTGGAACCAGGGGTTACATGGCTCCTGAATATGCAGTAAATGGTAGGGCAAGCAAAGAATCGGATGTGTTTAGCTTTGGTGTCGTTTTATTGGAAATAACTTGTGGGAGAAAACCGATTTTGCACAAACTTCAAGAAAATGAAATGCAATTAGTAGAATGGGTTTGGGACAAATATGGGAGTGGGACCCTACTAGAAGTAGTGGACCCACATTTAGGTTTAGATTATGATGAAGAAGAGATTAAGAGGTTGATGATCATTGGGCTATGGTGTGTTCACCCTGACTCAAGCCACAGGCCATCGATGAGGCAAGTTATTCAAGTACTCAACTTTGAAGCTTCATTGCCCATACTACCCTCAAAGATGCCTGTGGCCACTTACTTGTTTTCAGACTTTTCTTCCGTGTCTTCTTCGTTATATGGTGATACTACTTATTCCTCCATTAATTACCCATCGTCAAGTAATGCATCTAATGTGGGTCGTTTATGAAGACAAAAAGTATAGTTGATAGTTTGTATCGATTCCACATTTGTATCATGTTTTAAGGGTGAGCACGGTTTGGATTAGTTAGTTTGTTTCTGATCACATTTTTGTATAAAACCAATAAACAAATCGTAAGATTTCGTTCATTAGCCCCAACAAGTGTACATGTTTGGTTTTTTTCTAAGTTTCATCTTTGTGGTTTGGTTTTATTTTCGGGTTTTCATCTTTCAGTTTCATAAAGAAGTAAAAATATTGATTGAATACGTGAACTTGTTGACATCAAAATCCATTAAGGCATACAAAAGATATTCGTTGAATTTCGTAATATATATGATAGCAATGAAAATTAGAACTACCTTAAAATTTTGGTTATGTAACAAATAATAGGTTATGATCACGACGTCGTAATAGCATACAACCAGATTCAATTTTGTTTTCGGTTTCGGTACAAAAAACTGAACCGATCTTAAGATTTTGGTTTCTCTAGAAACAAAAAACATAAGTATCGGTTTTTCGACCGATTACTATTTTTGGTTTTTTTGTATTTAATTATAGTGTTGGGTTGTGGATTTGATTGCTTTTTGACCTTGTTGACTCTACTACAATTTAGAGGCTATTTGGGAAGATGTTAATATAAAGTTGGCCTCCAAAAATTGATATCATAAGGCGGATTCTAGATGGTAATCATTAGATTCAAATGGGTGGTTTGGTTTGTCTTAGGAAGTTTTAAGAAATGTGTTAAAAGTATTATATGATTAACAAACTTATCATTTGTGTGAATAATAGTTTGCAGGGTATATTATGTTAATTTATAGTTTGTATAGGGGTTGTTTCTGTATTATTGCTTGTGCAGGAGTTATTGTTACGCGGGTTATAAGTCCGAACCGGATCCATGGTTAGTTCATGGGTTGAATTGTGCCCCGGGTATTTAATGTTAATTGGAAGCTCATTAGGTCATACTCAAGATATTTTCTCAGTGTAAAACTCTCTCTCGTCTGTTCTCTTCTTTGTCAATAGAGGGTTTTCATATTAGGGTTTCTATAAACACAATTGTGTATAGTTTGATTCCTTGTATCTTATGAGAGATTGAGTGTGATTGTAGTGAGGATTTTCATTTGTATTTGTATGATGAAAAACCAACTGTTTTATAGTGAATGAAATGTTGATGTTGGGAATGATTTCGTGTTCTTGAGTTCGTATTCTGAATTTATATTTTGTTACAAAATGGAAGAGTCGTGGGACTTTTTACCGAAGAACGTCGAAGGCGTCTCACGTCTTCTGGAATGGTCTAACCCTTGGTTGTTTATGGGTCATGAAACATTAGTTAGTATGTTCACCAAATAATGTCGGATGAATCTCACACCTTCTATATAAAAGAATAAATTTATATATAATTTCATAACACATTCCATACTCAAAAGCTTAACGAAAACGGCTTAAAACTCACATTTGAGAGAAAAAAGTTGCAAAAGGACTAGTACATTGTTATAAACACCAAACCTAAATAAACATCATAAGATAAACAAGAGTTTATAAAATGTATTCTATTATTCGGAATGTAGTTCCACAAGGTATGTGAGCTTGGATTATATAGTGAATTACATTGCATAATTGCATGAAAGTATGTTATGACATTAAAGTGTGTTTAAAGTTGGAAAGATGTTTAAATCAAAAGTTCTAGCTAATGTTGATATGCATATACTTTGTATCAAAAGCTATGTGTCTTACTAAACATTTTTGTCTTACATATTTTATTTTTGGTGACATGTATTCCATGTCTAAATTTAAAGAAATAGTCTAATAGAGGACTTAAAGGGTGATTGGGAATGCTTTTTGAAATAGATTATTGACTCATTTGTTTTTTCAAAAGGCCAATAAGTTTAAAAAATATTTGGATATAAGAAAAGTGTTTTCAAATGACTTTTTGTGAAGGCTCAAAAAGTAGGTTTTGATAAGTAAGAGGAATTTTGAATAGTTTTTGGCTTTTTAAAACAAAAATGACCTATATACCCTCAAAACACACATGATAATGCTTGCTTGTTCACATTGGACGCAACACACACTTTTATGATATCTAGAAGGATGAATATTTAGGGGGTGAACATAGAAATAAGCATATTAGACATTAGTTTTGAATATTAACGTGTAGTATAATTTTATGCTTCTCTATGGATTGTGATGATGGTTGTAACCTTTGTTTTAGATTATGTAGGGCATGTTTGATGGTCCATGTATTACCTAGCATAAGATGTTCGGCAACCACTAACTCTTTAAGTAGGATTTGTTCTAACTCGTATACCATGCTTCTTCTAACCATCATCCTTTATAAAAAAACAAGGGAGAATAATGTAAAAGATAAATGAGAAAAGACGACCTGGGAATTTGGTATAAGAGTTCATAAGATGCATTGCATCATTTAAACTACACTATTGTTATATGAATTCAAATTGAGTTTTTTTTATTACAATGTTTAAGCTTTAAATGTAATGTCTTATTTGAAAGAGTTATAAAATAGTTAAAGATGAAAAGGGTTGTTTTTAAAATATAAAATTTTGTGTTCACTTACATATTCTATTTTTGAGATGTCAAATCCACGAGTGCCTCACTAGGCTTTCTTTATGGTATAACATACTATTTGACATGTGTCCATGTGATACGTAAGCAAAATAGTGTAAGACATGAGAGAGATAAGAGTAACTACTTGAACATTTGAGAATATTACTTTGAGTTTGGAATAGTTGAAACTTTATAATTATTATTTTGGTCTCTATATTAGTTGTTAATTTCCCTCGTATACTTTTGAACAACTATCTATTTTAAAATTTTGTGCTTCAGAAGATGGTGAAAGATTTCCATAATCTAAAAAATGATGTTTTAAATTCCTCTTTCAAAATAACTTATACGATCAGTGTTTCAATTTGATATCAAAGCACAAGTTTAAATGAACTATGTACTTAGAATAATTTTTATAGTTATGTGACATCCCCTAATTTCTCGGCCAGAAAAGACCGATTTTAATTTATGCTTTTAAAACAAAGTCAGTGAAATCTTTTTAAAAGATGTTGCGGAATTGGTCCCCAAAACAAAACATGATAGAAGTTTATCAAAACCTTTCTTTAAGAAAGTATATATTTTCCATATATATCAAAACCTCGGGATGTCATGTTCCGATACAGATCAAAAGCATAAACAAGTCATTATAAGCCTTACAACAGTTATTTACAACTACTGGCCTATAATCAAAATATCTCTCATCGTCCACCGACTATGCTCGGGGTCCACTACCTGTAACATAAAAAGCTGAGTGGGTCAGGCTTGGGAGCCTGGTGAGCATATAGGGTTTTCAACCCACAATAATAATAAACTTATTAAGTTCATCAATCAACAATAACCCTGATTACCCTTTCCCGTTATCCTCACTTTACGTCCCTAAACACTTATCACAAGGGACCTAGCCTAAACAATATCATCGGGATGGACACTACTGCTAAGGGGTTTCCTCAGCCATACATGTCCTAAAGGCAACCATGAAGGGGATGGAGTACAGCGAATGAACGCCCAAGTTCATTAACACCTACAGGTTGCGGGTCTGCCAGCGTTTCCACTGGACTGTCTAGAAAAGTCTGTGGTCGTCATCCAAACTCCGCTAGATGACTGAATCACAATCACATCGAGGCCTCTCATCACTTTATTTCATCACACGCCAACTGTCTACCCATGTTTTACCCAACATATTTGTAGATAAAAATACATATACAGTTTAAAACTTGTATAAAACATCTATTCAACAGTCACCTCAATTAAACAATTAATATAATTACACGTAGCACGTATTTTATAGAAAATACTTCATATATAGGTGTAAGATGAAGGTGACTATACACTCACATGATTTGATGATAATCGGGCAGCAATTCGTTTCCTAAAACGTTCGTTTCTAATAAAACCGGGAGTTTTATTGAGAAACCGGGCTCTGCGAAGGTCGGGCTTCGAAACCGAAAATAAAAATTTTCCGGGCTTCTCGGGCACTTCGTGGCGTATTCCGGGGGGTTATAATTGATACCGGGGCTTTGGGGGATGTTAATATGAAGAAAATATGAAGAAAGGGGCTAAAAGTGACAAAATTCTAAAAATAACCGAGAAGGCTCGCAAACCTTCTATTTATAGGAGGTCCGAAGTCGGCTTAGAAGGGGAAGAGTCAGCAGGCGAGACACGCGTCAGCAGCTGGGCGAGGGTGCGCAGGTGGCTCGCACATGGTCTGCGCATGCGAGGGGCTCGGTGTCGCCTCCTGATTGGACCGCGGTCTAGTCCGAGGCTTCGGACGTGGCACCTCCTGCGAGACTCGCACACGTGATAAGGAACACGCGTCGGACTCCTAGTGGACCACTTCGGATTAGCTCTCTGGTTCGGATGACTCACGAGATCGGACAAGCGTTGGATGCGAGGCGAGGACACGTGGCCGAAGTCCACGTATGCGAGATTTCTCGGTTTTGGGGATTTTTCTCGATTTTCGCGCCAAAACTTCTAAAATCCATAACTTTCGCATACGAGCTCCGTTTTTGACGTTCTTTATTTGCACGCGTAGGTAAAATTATGCTCTACAACTTTCGTTAAGACTTCGTCGGCTAATTTTGACTTTAATTTTATATTATTATTTTTAACAGACCGGGACAGGAAATCCGTTAAAAATTCATAACTTCTTCATCCGACGTCCGTTTTTGTCTGTCTTTTTTACCGTTGTGCTACTATTGACGAGACCTTCGATTCCCATTTAGGTCGTGTCGGCTAAAAATCACTCGATCTAAAATTCGAGTTTTTAGCTGTCTATTGCTAAACTGAAACTTCGAAAAATCATAACTTCCTTATACGAAGTCAGATTTGGGCGTTCTTTTTATATCTACTCTCGGTTTAACGAACACTATGAGTTTCGTTTAGATCACTAAGGCTAAAAAGTAGTTTATCAAAAACTCACTTTTTACGACATTCGACACTTGCCGGTTTTGTCG